TTCTTTCTACCGCTATCTTACATAAAACTCATGTTTACAGAAATCCTGGATTAGGCTGTTGACCTTTAATCCGATGAGGCTTGACTTTTCAGGATAAGTATAGGCCCAAGAGGGGTCCTTCTGTCTGAATGCCTGTGTTTGGAATTCAGATATGGAGCTGCTGTTGTGCATCTCGTCTGGGTAAAGAATAATCAGAGCAAAGTTAGATTATTTGCAACACAATTAGAGTGAGGGCAAGATACTCTGTTTTCCTTTTATTGATAGTTAAAAACTTTAGCAGAAACACTGTGCAAATTGGCAGCCTCACATTATACTTTCTAAACTCTTAATGTGAAAGTGGATCAGGCTGGTACAGTTGGTTATTCAACTTAAAAGTTCTTGAGAAATTCCTGAACTCTGTGATGGAGTCCTACATAGCAAGGTCACTGTGTCTGGTCATTGTTGGTCTTTCACTGTCGAAGATGCAGCTTGAGAGGCCATTTCCTCCACACCCACCCCATACACCCCCACCCCACAGACAGTTGGTTGCCGTGACTCTTTTTGGAAAGCCAGCCAATTAACAGTAACTCTTGTGTTTACTGCTTGTGACATGTCTGAAGTTTTTGTAGAGTGCTGTTGAGAGGGAACTACTTTTTAACATCTTCTAACTGTGTTATAGATGAGGCCAAGCCGCCACATTCCCTCCCTGAAAATGTGCCAAGTGGAGGGCAAGAACCCAGTCCAGCAGGACAACGAGGACCTGGGCAGCATGAGCACTCCTCTTCTAAGCCACCATGGTTCGAACGTCCTGCCATGCCACTCTGGGGCCAACAGCAACAGGTACTGGTTTGGGGAATTCTTCCAGGTGTGTGGAGTAAAATGCGGCCATTGAGGATACAAGCAAATGTCAGGAATGAGGGAGCTGCATCAACAAACTCCTATTTAGGAACAATAGAATAAGGACAAATAATTACAGTATCAGTAGAGGAATACATCAAGTAAACTGCTTGTCCCAAAACTGCAGTCTGCATTGCCCAGAGCAGTGTGCAAGAGAACCGCCTAAGAGGCAGTCAGCATCACAAAGGACCGAGTGAGCAAGAGGAGTACCCTGACACGGTCAGCATCACCTCAAGGAGCGGGTGACAGGAGAATCCTGAGACAGACAGGCTTACTGTGAAAGCAACTGTCAATAATGATATCATAGGAAAGGTTGATTGGCTGGTGAATAACTGCTCTTGGGGAGTGTGTAAATAACTGGAAATTAGAGAAACATAAAGTTTAAAATATTTTACGTGGTAAAGGTGACTACAGTAAGTGGTGGAACAAAGGATCCTAAGTAAAATGTTCAAAGAATATTAATTAATTAAAGTAACCACGCAATAAATTATGACACATTTAAGGATGGAAGGCAAGTGATATGTTGCAGCTTTACAAGATCAATGCTTCTAAGCCAATGAGATCCAGGATGCTGAATGCAGAATATTTAAGTGAACATGTTACACATGTTTGATAAAATCATTTGCTTATATAGGTAAGATACATTTTCATTTATATAGATTTGGTATGTATATTTAAATTTATACACATTATGTCCACAATTTTGATCTATAGATACAAGATTTATATTTTCTCCTCATTTTGTTCTTATTTGACTTTCAGCCCTTCCTCCCATCTTAGGAACCCCAGTAGATTTTCTTCCGCTTCTCCATGTTGCCCTGAATCCATTGAAATCTAACTGAGACTGGGGACTTAATACAACATGGATTTATTTGCCTGCTTTCACTCTAACTTTAAGTGCGTTTAAAGGCTGACAGGGAATCTGTAAATGATACTACCTTTCTCAACCAGTGCCCTGAAAAAGGACACACAGTCTTGCCATTAAAGTCTCCTGTGCCTTTCAACCGAGGCAGTGCTGCTGTTCAAGAATGCTTTCCCATGAATAGGTTTCTCTGTTGGCATCTCTTTACATGTGTGTGATGTGAGTAACCTTATGAAACACGTGGCCTGATTGCAATTAAACACATGGCCTGGTTGCAGTTAAATAACATGTCAAACCTTTGTGTACATACTGCTCAGGATTTCTAATTTAGGAATGATCACTTTTAAAATAATCTTGCTGTTGACACACTTCCTGCAACAAATACCTGTGTATTTCTGTAAGTGGCGCTAGTCTACAATTGTCCTTTGTCACTATTTTGCATTTTCTTAAAGCAGCAGTTGAGTGTTTGCTTGTGTTTTTACGGCATTACTTGGTTATATAAAAGTGACCACTGTCATTTTAATGACTGTTGCAATAACAGAAGACCAAGTTAGTAGAGGTCTAGTGAGGACAGGATCAGGCTTGGCAGTATATTTCTCTTATAATGTGTGTGTAAAAAAAAAAAGTTTCAACAACTAACTGTACTTGAAAGGAGAAATATTTTAATTACAAACAAAAATAGAGATTGCTGGAAAAGCTCAGCCATTCTGGCAACATTGTGAAGAGAAATCAGTTCTGAGGAAGGGTCAGTGGACCCAAAACATTAACTCTGATTTCTGTTCACAAATGTTGCCAGACCTGCTGATCTTTTCCAGTAATCTCTATTTTTGTTTGTGATTTACAGCATCCGCAGTTCTTTTGTTTTTTATTTAGTATTTTTAATTATTGCCTATTAATAGTGATTGCAAGGTTAGTACATTGTTCAGTGAGTTGGAGGTTCTCTTTGTCGCTGGTGATGCATCAATTCACTAGCTAGGCCAGTCAGACATCTCTTAGTCAAGTTGAGCAAGATATAAATTAGCTATTCAACCCAAACCCATCTGTTTGGATGAATTAGGTAAAATTGAGAAAGACTTCTTTATGAATCAGTTTGTTTGACTTGGATCTCACCATTACCAAGGTGTCATGTACTCCAACTGTTTAAAAAGACAAGTCAATTGGTGTTGATAACTGCAGCTTAAACCGTGCTGTTGTAACATTTGATGAATAAATGGTTCTGTGCTGTCAATTCAGTGTAATTTAAATAATTGTCTTGGAGTCTGAGCATGTCTTTCTCTTTTTACCACTGCTAGTTTGACCAAGGGTTTAATGCTCCACATCAAGGACCACCTCATTGCCAGCCCTGGAATAACAATCATGAAGGCATGTGGAATGACCAGCGGGAACAAAATTGGAACAACCAACGGGATGCTCCTTGGAACAATCAGCATGAGCCATCATGGAATAATCAGTTTGAACCCCCATGGAACAACCAGCATGAGCCACCCTGGGGAGGGCAGCGGGACCCACCGTTCAGAATGCAGCGACCTCCACACTTCCGCCAGCAGCCCCCATTCCCACCCCACCAGCAGCACCCACCATTCAACCAGCCTCCACACCCCCACAACTTTAACCGCATTCCTCCGCGGTTCATGCAGGATGACTTCCCTCCTCGACACCACTTCGATCGTCCTCCATATCCTCCGCACCATTTTGACTATCAACAAGGAGACTTTCCACCAGGTAAATGATACCCAAAAAATGAATACTTTGCTTCAGTATTCACCAGTGAGAGGGACCTTGACATTTGTGAGGACAGCGTGAAACAGGCTGATCTGCTTGAACAGGTTGATGTTAGGAAGGAGGATGTGCTAGAAATTTTGAAAAAAATGAGGATAGATAAGTCCCCTGGGCCAGATGGGATATACCCAAGGTTACTACAGGAAGCGAGGGAAGAGATTACTTTGGCGATGATCTTTGTGACCTCACTGTCCACTGGAGTAGTACCAGATGATTGGAGGGTGGCAAATGTTATTCCATTGTTCAAGAAAGGGAATAGGGATAATCCTGGGAATTATAGACCAGTCAGTCTTAGTTCTGTAGTGGGCAAATTATTGGAGAGGATTCTGAGAGATAGTATTTATGATTACTTAGAAAAGAATAGTTTGATTAGAAATAGTCAGCACGGTTTTGTGAGAGACAGATCATACCTCACTAGCCTTATTGAATTCTTTGGGGATGTGACAAAACACATTGAAGGTCGAGCAGCAGATGTGGTGTATATGGATTTTAGCAAGGCATTTGATAAGATTCCCCATGGTAGGCTCATTCAAAAAGTAAGGAGGCATAGGATTCAGGGAAATTTGGCTGTCTGGATACAGAATTGGCTATCCGATAGAAGACAGAGGGTGGTAGTAGATGGAAAGTATTCAGCTTGGAGCTCAGTGACCAGTGGTGTTCCACAGGGATCTGTTCTGGGACCTCTGCTCTTTGTGATCTTTATAAATGACGTGGATGAGGAAGTGGAAGGGTGGGTTAGTAAGTTTGCCGATGACACACAGGTTGGTGGAGTTGTGGACAGCGTGGAGGGCTGTTGTAGGTTGCAACGGGACATTGACAGAATGCAGAGCTGGGCAAAGAAGTGGCAGGTGGAATTCAACCTGGAAAAGTGTGAAGTGATTCATTTTGGAAGGTTGAATTTGAATGCAGATTACAGGGTTAATGGCAGGATTAATGGCAGGACTCTTGGCAGTGTGGAGGAACAGAGAGATCTTGGAGTCCACATCCATAGATCCCCCAAAGTTGTTACCCAAAGTTAATAAGGTTGTTAGGAAGGCATATGGTGTGTTAGCTTTCATTGGCAGGGGAATTGAGTTTAAGAGCCACGAGGTTATGCTGCGTTCTATAAAACCCTGGTTAGAGCACACTTGGAATATTGTGTTCCGTTCTGGTTGCCTCATTATATGAAGGATGTGGAAGCTTTGGAGAGGGTGCAGAGGAGATTTACCAGGATACTGCCTGGATGGAGGGCAGGTCTTATGAGGAAAGGTCGAGGGAGCTCGGGCTTTTCTCATTGGAGCGAAGAAGGATGAGTGGTAACTTGCTACAGGTGTACAAGGTGATGAGAGGCATAGATAGAGTGGATAGCCAGAGACTTTTTCCCAGGGCGGAAATGACTATTACGAGGGGGCATAATTTTAAGGTGATTGGAGGAAGGTATAGGGGAGATGTCAGAGGTAAGTTCTTTACACAGAGAATGGTGGGCATGTGGAATGCGCTGCCGGCCGTGGCAGTGGAGTCAGATACATTAGGGACATTCAGGCGACTCCTGGATAGGCACGTGGATGATAGTATAATGTAGGGTATGCAGGGTAGTTTAATCTTAGTAGGATAATAGGTCGGCGCAACGTCATGGGCTGAAGGGCCTGTGCTGTGTTGTACTGTTCTATGTTCTATGTTAACCCGTGCAATGATAGCACCATGAGGTTAAGTTCTTTCTTGCGAGTTTTTAAACTTTGCATTATTGTGACTACCAGCTGATTTCAAACACTTAACTTCCATAGAGGTTTCTTCCAATTGTTGAAGAGAAAGAAAGACTTCCAGTCTTACAGTCTCCGTGCCCCAAAGCATTGAGGACAAATTGACCCCCTGGTTAATGCTGCATCAATATGACCTCCAATAGTGCAAGAACTTCCTCAACTGTGTTGTAATGTCAGCCTAGGTTTTATGCACAAGATTCTGGGGTGGGACTTGAATATACAATCCTGATTGAGAAGCAGGAATGTTACCAGTGAGCCAAAATCAATACTTCATCACTGATACAGCAGCAGTGGGCGAGATTCTAGTTCAGAGCCTTGCCTTGACTGATAGTTACACTCTAGTTTTTTCTGGCCCTGACTTACCGACCCTGGAGCAGTTTTTCTGCGCTAAGTCTGTAAAGTGCAGCTCTTTTGGAATAACAGTGATGCTATCTTTGACTAGATTCTTTGCATTATAATTATAACTGAAGGAAGGCAGATAGGAAAGTCAGGTGAATTCTGTTAGATGCGGCTTTTGGGAAAACATAACCTTGGTTTAGATGTGCAGAATAGCCTTTTTTATTCATAGTTGTCTTGTGAAATGCATGTACAATTCAGAATCAAAGCTGGTTATATTTTGTCATTGTTGAGCAAAATTGTGATTCTGTATGAATCTGTCACATATCTGTCAAATAAATTATTTGTAATTTCAGTTTGTAGCTAGATGCAAGATTCACATTAATGTTCCTTCATAAACTATAGTTTATTTATTTTCTGATAAAAGTTGTCTTAAATGCCTTTATAATTTGACATGTCTGGGTCAGGTGTAATGTTATTAGGTTATCCACAAGCCTGGTATAGTAATACAGTAAAAAGACAGAACCAGGTATAGAACTTTGGCTGAAATGCCTCTACAATGTTAATATTCCAGATATGGGCCCTCCTCATCATCCTCCACACCGAATGCCTCCGCCAGGAATGGGAGAACCCCCTCCATGGGGTGGGCCCCAGCACCCAGATTTTGCTGGTCCCCCTCCAGGTTTTAATGGACAGCCTCCCCATATCAGACGGCAAGGGCCCCCTCCACCACAGATCAGCCCGGATGATCCTAGCCTGGTACCCAATGTGCCATATTTCGATCTCCCAGCAGGATTAATGGCACCACTGGTGAAGGTAAGTCCAGATATTGCTCATTCTGCATATATCAGCAATAACTTGCATTCCATGTGGCATTCTTTAACGTGGGGAGGCACCAAAGCTGCTTCATAGGCTCCTAATCAAAAGCTGACACGCAACCATCAAGGTATATGTAACTAAATGTTGGGTCTTAAAGCAGCAGATTATGATAAACTCATATGTTTGGCGAAGAAATTCCAGAGTTTAGGATCTGTGGTTCAACAAGTGACCACCAATTCTCCAGCAAAGAGTGTGGGATGCGTAGGTGGCCAGATTTAGAGGGATGCAGAGTCTTTGGATATTTTTAAAGGTTATAGAAATGGGAGGGTGAGGCCATAAAATGATTTGTAATGCTAAATTAGAGGTGTTGGTTGCCTGGGAACCAATGTAGATTGATAAAGAACAGCATTGATATGTGTGTGGAATAGAATATAAGGCAGCAAAGGTTTAGATGAGTTCAAGTTTAAGCAAGAGTGGATGTTGCGGGGAGGGAAGCCATTTGGAACGCTATGGAATTGCTGATTTTGGAGGTTATGAAAGCATAGATACCTGTATCAGTGGTTTGATAAGCTGAGACAGGTGAAAATAGCTGATCTTTTACAGAGCTGGAAGGAGACAACTTGAGCAATAGAGGTGATATGAAGTTGGAGCTCAACCCTGGGTGATAATGTTACAATCTGTTCCTTTGTAGAGTTATTCCGGCATGGGAGTCCATTCAGCCCATCAAGTCTTCAATGGTTCTCTGTAGAACAGTCCAGTCAGTCTCTTTCCCCTGCTGTTTCCCTGTAGCCCTACAGGTTTATCTCCCTCAAGCACACATCCAATTTCCTTCAGAAATCGTTAGCCGTTTTCCATCACCCTTGATGGTGAGAGTTTCAGATCATTACTAGTCACTACATTTTAAAAGAAAAGTCTTCCTTAGCCTTCTCTTGCATAGAACTTTACATCTGTTTCATCAACACCTTTGTTCAACCAAAGATAGTGGTTTATGAGGGAGCTCAAATCAGCAGCAATTGAACTCAGTTTGTGGGAGGGCTGAAGACAAGAACTGCCTCTCTTTTAGTTGTACAGAATCCTTCACATTCACCACCTGAGAGGTCAAATGGAATCTTGGTTTACTGACTCATCAAACGATAGTACCTCTGAATTATGTGCTTAATTCCCAGGAGTGGGATTTGAACTTGCCTAGATTAGTTAGATTGTGGTACAGGTGCTGAAGTTATAGACATTGATATGGAGATAATATCTATGTGATGCTGAACTATCAATGACTTTTGTCATCAATACCTGTAGTGTAAAGTGCCAACCATTCAGAATGCTACATCTATAAGTTATTTTTTAAAAAGCTGGATTCAAATGGCTTCATTAGAACTAGTAGCAAGATCTATTGTCAGATACTTTTCTCCCCACTTTTTAAGAAAAAGACATACCAGACTACTAAGCAACCTGCTAAATACACCCCGTAAACCAACTGTTTATGATTACTCATCCTTACTTTGAAACAGCTGGAAGACCATGACTACAAGGCTCTGGAACCTAAAGACATGCGCCTTCCACCTCCAATGCCACCTAATGAGAGGCTTCTTGCTGCAGTTGAAGCATTTTACAGCCCACCATCACATGACAGACCAAGAAACAGGTAGGAGCATGCAAAGACTATATTGTTGCTTTGGTTCTGTCTTTGTGAAATGAAAACTGTATGCCATGTAACTAGTGATTGAGCACTGGAAGGAATGAAAATGTAAGTAGCGACATATCACTTACACCACAGAAATAAACTATTCCTCCCAATTACTCCATACCCGCATTTATACTCCAGACAAGTTACTTTTAACTTCCCCTTGAATTTCATCTACATGCAAAGTGCTCAGCGATAAACGAAGAAGAAATTATCTTATGTTTATTATCCCTACATATTAAATCACACACTCTTCACTCCCTGTTTTCTTTCTGTCTTATTAAACTCCTTCATATTTTTAGACCTGTATTGTTTCATCCCTCTTGTCTATTCAGCCATGTAGAAATGAATGTCTCTTAGAATCACCCTGGTGATTTTTTTTTGCCTCCTTCAGTGCCTTTACCATTCCATCATATGAAAACCAGAACTGTGCACACGAATTTTAAGTATCGTTCAACCATAGCTCTATATAACATATCTACTTTTCAATGCTATCCCTGTAGTTTGATTTGCCTTTTGTTTTTTATCTTTATTAAATGATATTGTTATTTCTAATGATTTGTGTACCCTAGACCCATTTTATTTTACAAGGTCTGGCAGCATCTGTGAAGGAGAAAACAGAGTTAACGTTTCGGGTCCAGTGATCCTTCCTCAGAAC